AGTAGCCCAGTGTTGAAAACCTCAGTTCAACAAATTGTCAACAGAACCAAATTTAATAAAACAAGTAAAAAAGCTAAAGTGGGGTGTCCCGACTTTGAAATACTCTGTACATATGTTTACAATAATTATAGAAAAAAAATAAGAAAATTTAAAAAAATTGGATGGATTTTACCTTTCTCGGTATTCGAACTCAAGTAAAGGGTATATAATTGCACATATACAAAGCAATTGCGTCTATGTGAGTGTATGTATGTTTATGCGCGTCTATTTGTGTCTGTGTAAGCATTTTCGCAGTCAACTAAACAGCAACATCAACAACACCCGCGGGCAGCGCTTAAGCAGCGCTGCAGCAGCAAATATATTTATGGCTATAACTTGTTAAATCGGTCTATCATAGTGAAACTTGGCATACGGACACATAATAACTAACTGGGAGTATTTGCAAAATTTTAGTTCGAAATTCCAAGAATTACGGGAGTTAGAGAAAATCGCATTTGCGGGGGAGAGGGGGAAGGGAGAGAAATTCCAAAATATAGATTTTCTGCGTATTCACACAAGGCATCTTGGACTAAAATTTGGTGTTCCTAGTCTCCGAGATATAGGCGATTATACGAATGGAAAATCGGGAAAACCCCCAGAGGGGGGAAGTGGGGGGGAAAATCAAAAATCTCTAGCTCTTATAGTCTCTGAGATCTAGGTGATCATACGGACGGACAGACGGAGAGACAGACAGACAGGGCTAGATCGACTCGTCTCGTCATGCTGATCAAGAATATATATACTTTGTGGGGTCTGCCACGCCTCCTTCTGCCTGTTACATTTTTCAGCTCGCGCAAACCTAATATACTCTTGTACATTTCATGTACAGAGTATAAATATCTCATACTTGAAAGTCGGTTGTTTATTTTCAAAGATATTCAATGTTTACATACCGACATACAAGCACGCATAAACGCGATTCTGATGTAAATCTATGCTGTTGAAATTGTACGTAAACACTTATGTATGTCTGTATGCATGTGTTAAATATTTTATATTTAATTAAATGAATTAATTACTTTTTTTTATTATTATTATTTTTTTTTTTTTGTGAGGTGGTACAGGGTATTTTAGAGTTGAGCCCGCTCGACTTTAGCATTCCTTTCTTGTTTAATCCAAGTCTATAGAAATTTTATTACAGCTTAAAGATTCAAAATAGGTAAGTCAAATGTTGAAGTGGTACCAAACATTTGAATAGCTTTAAATAAATTAAACAGACACTTAAGTCTGATTGATAAAAAAATTTTATAACTTTTTGTTGAGGCTCTTGCCGTTATGTAAAGGTATGTCATCGATGGGATTATATATTGGACAAGGTTCTATATAGGTGATTTTTTGGGTATATCAAGTATCTTCTACCTTAAACCTCTGTCCTATTTCCACGTACCCATCTATGAAACCATATGTATTTCCGACAAAAGTAATTAGACATCGGAAATTATGTTGAAATTATTAATGCAGCATCACATGCACAATTTAAAAAGGCTGCTGAAAATAATTAAGTACCTATTTGAAAGAGAAATATACGATCCATTATTTGGTTTCAAAATATTCGATATTTCTATACACTTCGTTTTAAGCTGGCCTTATTCGGAGCAGTTTTCATTTAACACATTGGATCTTTCCGTTACCATACACTACCCACTGTAAATAATTTTTCCATTGCACTATACATATGTACATACTATAGCCAATGGTATTCCATTTGAAAAAATCGTAATTGGGTGTTATAGCTTATTCCGTTGAAAAGTAATGTTTAATTGAAATTAATAATTGTGTTTTACGGCCCCCTTTACATCATAATTAACACTGCCAATGGCCTGTAAGGAACAAATACTTGCAAACATGTGTATACTCGTATACTACCAAATAGCTTGTTTATGGCCATATTTACATCTGAACATAGGCATACCATCTAGACTAAAACGATGTGCGGTTGTGTGCTCATATATTCAAGACTATGCATATAATGTTTTGACATAAAAAATTCGTTCGTCACGATGTGAAATTTTTCCGTTTATTTATAAGAGGATTATATCAATAAAATTTCGTTACGTTCTGTGTGCAAAAAACATTGTTAATATTGCAAAATGAAATTCTTTGACCTATCACAATCAAACGTGAATACCACAAAAAAAAACACTAATAGCCTTAATTTAGTTGTATTTCAACTAAATTGTAAGAAAATTAATAGACATTTATGAGATCTGGAGTATCACACAATGCTTATTATATTTCAAGATATATTAGAAAAAGTGAGTACCAAATAATGCTTATTATATTTCTAGATATATTAGAAAAGGTGAGTACCAAATACTGATGGGGATGATTTTTCTGGATGTTCTACCCATCTTCCTTCCCACCGGACATTTATTAAGAAATTGCAGCATCTATTGTTATCGAAAATGCCCACATGAATAAATAATTGCTTGCATATATTATTTATCGCTATAAGCGGCCTCCTAAATCCTTTAGGTTTGCCGGCCACAATCAAGTTTTCTAATAACAGCAAGCCTTTCTAACATACTTGAAGGATTTACTTGCACAATCGACGAATTAATCAATATCCATGTGGCAAATGTAGCCACAAATATATAGCCAAATCGCTTATTTAAAAGAAATGAAGGTGCTGCCCCATAATTAAGCCAGAATATCTCATACACACACACAGGTGGATACTATATGCCACCACTCGGCTAGTGGCACAATAAATATGAATTATACTTTAATTCATGCGACCAGCGTGGACGCGTACACATCCATAAATTCATAATTTTCCCGTTAGCGCCAAGATTTTTGAGTAAGATGCAGTAATTGTGGGCGCTATGGGGTGCAGGGGTGCGCAGAGGAGGAGCGCAACAAGGCACACGTTTCACTTGCCGTTAAAACGTCGCCAGCTATTGACTTATGAGCAACAAACAGCGCCGTCTGGCCACCAAAGTAGCTAATTATAAGCGATGTTCTCTAAAACACAAACAAGAAGCACTCCCCTGCCTGCCTGTCTCCCTTCCTTCGTGCTTTCCTGCCTTCCCAGCCCGCAGCAGCAACTACAAAATCAACGACGAAATCAACACGAGCTGCGGGAACTTACAACAAAGCGCAAACATGAAATGAAAATGAAATAAAATCGTAAATATTATTTTTAGCTGCGCGCACAGGCGGCAAGCTGTGAAATAAAACTGTTCTAAGTAGCGGCAGCGGCAGCGGCGGCAGTCAAAGCAAAAGATTCTTGATTCCCGATTTCGGACGGGCTCTTAATGTTGTTGTTGTTGTTGTTTTTGCTTATGTTGCACATTTGTTTTATCAGGGCCATACTTGGATACTTTTAATGCTTTGTGTGTGCACTAAGCGGGGTCGTTCTGTTGCCCATGGCAACTTAGTGGCTTAATGGGCATACGCTGCGTATACGCAATGCCATTTAGTGCCACAATGGATAATAACAACACACAGTGTTAAGTTTGGACTCAAATTGAAATAGATCGGACTGTTTATTTTCAAACTAATCAAATGCAATAGAATTTCATTTATTTAACTGGCGCATGGCGTCGCTAAAATACACAAAAAAAAAAGTTTTAAAAAATAACAAAGAAAAATACAAATACTGGCAAAAATATTTGCAATTCAATTGCATACGGCAACAAAAAATCAAATAAAATAAAATAAATACAAATTCAAGGAATCCATACAACACACACATACTCTACACACGTCAACAAACACATGCACACACACACACACACACACACACAAAGACATGCACAAACACATATGCAACAGTAGTATTTCACGCTATTCATTGAAATTGCAAATGTGAAATGGCATGAAAAATATGCAGGAAATTGGAGCAACAACACCAGCTTCAGACAGCAGAACAAACAACAGCAAATAATAATAATTTCTATGCTCACCAAATGTTTAGCATTTTAAGCTTTGCGGTTTAAATGGCCCTTGTTGTCGTTGTTGTCGCTGTTGTTGTTGTTGTTGCTGTTGGTTTTGGCTGTCAAAGTGAAACTCAAGTGGCATTTGGCTTTGTGCTCGTCACTTGCAGTTCAAAGTATAAGTTCCCTTACATTCACAAATCGAGCATGCAACACAGTTACAGTTTTTATGCAACAAGGAATGCGGTGTTTGGGGTAAGCTTGTGGGTACGGAACAATCTTATGCTATTGTGGATTCTGTAATTCGGACAACAAGTATTTGTCTGTCTACCGAAAACATCCGGACACTTCCTTTAAAAGAGACACAATTCTATGGCATTAAAAGCGAGTTGTCGCCTACGGAAATAAAATTTAAATATGAAGTTTCTTTTTGTGTATTTGAAGTCATTTATTTTGCGGTTCCAAAGGTTGCAATGAATATGCCATAAAAATAATGTTTTAGTTGAAGTTGTTCTTAAAAAAATTGTGAAATTTCTATACAAAGATGAAGTAAGTTCTGTCTCTGCAGAAGTTACACGGCAGTTTCAAAACTGAAATTGTTGATCTACTGTTGTTGATCATCGGGATTTCTAAATTTTACTGCTTGCGAAAAGTCAGCATAGAATCCTACTACGAGTTGTGGCTCCTAAAAAATCCTGTACCAACCTCTAAGGAAAGAAAGCTTTCCATCTCCAACTTCAGACAACTTTTATGTGGTATACCCTGGTGAATCAACTTTCTGATAAGGACACTCGTCTAATCAAAAATGCTTGCATATATGTATGTTATAGTATACATATACTTTGTGTGGCCTGCAGTGCTATCTCCTTCTACATTAGAACTAAATTAAGGTACCCTTTTTCCCTTGGGATAAGGCTATGAAAACAAACATTCTTTAAAATAACAAAACTTATTACAAATAAAAATAAATGCATATATAACATATTTGCTTGCTTTCTCTTTTCATCTTGGTAATAGATAATTTGCAGAAATGTGAGATTTTTTTACTGTACAGCTATAGAATTAACTTGAATTTACACTTACTGCTGCTGTGTGACGATTCATGCCAAAACCTGTTGCCTCACATCCACAAACTTACCTAAAACGATAAAGAAGAGCAGAATAGGAGAAAGGGGGCACATGTAGTGGAAACAAATTGAGGATATCCTTAACTTATTTTAAAAACTATTGTATTTTCCAGGCAATGGAGGAGCAGATTCTCCTACTCATTGTTGTTCTTGGTTGCTGAAAAGAAAAACTCGTAAATGAAATCTCTATGCCATGCAAACTTCCGTTGCCAACAGCAATAGCAATACCAGCGGGCACTCAAATCGAGCGGACGACGAGCATTCCCTAAATGCTGTTCATTAGGCAGGTTGTTGCTGTTGTTTTCAAAAGCGTGTAAATAAACAAAATAGCTGAAAGATTCAACGTTCAACACGCAAGAGTAACAACAAGCAGGAAAACAAGCAAAACTCATTGTTTAACTAAATGGCGCGTAAAGTAATGAATTAGAGTTAAAAGTAAATAGGTTGAATGGCAGTGAAAAACCAAAAGTCAACTAAAAGAAAAAAAGAAAGGAATTCTGCGAAGACTCTGTGCTAAGTAGTTTATTAGGCACATAAAAAACTATATTACATTTCGTTCACAGCAACCTTAATGCAAAACAAAACAGCTGGTTCAGTAGCCACCGTCTGTGCTTTTATACCCTATAGCCAAATGGAAGAAGGGAATTTCAAATCGTGTAGCTCTTGTAACAACCACGGCTGACCCCACAAGGTATATTCACATAAGTAGTATATATATGGTTGATCAGATTGAGACAAGTCGATCTAGATGTTTTATTTGTTTGTCAAATCTTCAGCGAATAAATAGAATATTTCCAAACTACCTAACATTATTTGTTCGTTCTATTCTTTATTTTGACAATTGTTAAGTTTTCTCAATGACCTTGACAGACAACTATTGATAAACAATTTAAAGAGTGCGGAAGGTTGGTCGCGCGGGTGAATCTTCTTAAGGCGCCTGAGGGGCTGACTGTTCCCTTGCAAGTATATGGCCTGGGTATTGTCTTGTGCAGGCAGCTGCTGGACCTGATACCTGATACCGCTGCAGAACCTCTATATCATATAAGCTGGCTGTTCGCCGCATTTGGATTACGTAGGTTGGTTTCATATTTTTTGCTACCCTAACACATATACAATACTGCTATAAATTGAGCAAAATCCAAGTGAGCACATCTGTGTACTTAAATTACAAAATAAAGCCCAGAATCATTATGCTTAAGCGACGTAAACGGCATACAGATATCGACAATTGTCCCAACATATGATTGGCATAGACGAAGAGTATAGTAATAAGCTGGCTGAGCCAAACAGAAAGCCATGGTCATCAGAAAAATATATTAAAAATTCAAACAAAAATGTAAAAGCGTGCCCGACCGTTTATACCACATTAGGTTATTCCTGGTCAATGGTTTTATACTCTGTCCAATAATTGTTTTCAAATATGTATGTTCAATTTGTTTGTAAATGTTGTAGAAATAGTATTTGGCATATTTCTCAAAGCTAACAGAATTCGTGTGCATCGGTTTTATGCACAAGTTTATGTTTCTGGAACAAAACAGCTGCTAAAAGTGCCAACATTTATGGCTCAAATGTTCATTAAAGTCGGACAGGACAGGACAGGACTAATCGGCACTTACAAGAGGTAATTGCCAAATTCCGAAAATAGCAGAAGCTATATTTAAATCATTGATCACTAGGAAAAAGAAACACCAGGTCATAGGAAACTGATATCAAAAACGTAATTTGTGCAACTTCAAACACTCGCTTTGTAACCATGTGTTGACGTCGTCGCCATATCAGTGATATTATACGCCTTATCTAATTTGTCATAACTTTGTTGTTATTTACCATTGTGGTCGACCACACGCAAAGGCACACACATTACACTAAGTGTGAAAAAAAATGAAATGTAAAACCTTATCAGAAACATGGCACACCAAAAATCTCTATGAATAACGGTTGGTTCTTTTTTATTCACAATCGTTCAGTCATTAATGAGAACCACAGTAAATAATTATAAATAAGAATGAAATGATGAGACAACTGTTAAAGTTGGTGTTTTGGAAAACCAGCTGAGGGTAGTGCGGGGGCATATGTTTGTTTAATCTGTCCATCTGTCTGCAAGTTTTTTTTATTTGTTTATGCCCCCCCACCCCCTTCCCCTGATAGAGGATTTTCCGTATCGCCGTTGGAACAATGAAGCACTAGCATACAACATTTAAATTGAGAAGACTGGCGACCTCAAACTACTAATTATAATTAGGTACGGTTGATTTGTAAGACTAGAGCAGTGATAGCCACCTCTTGCAAAAGGCATACAAACCTGAGGTATACAATTCTATTTATATGGACAAGAGTCGTTCAAATTGCTTTAAGACAGTTAAACAGCAAAGAAGGCAGTTAACGACTAGATGATGTCATCATGCATAGGTTCGTCAGTAGTTCATTGTCTGCTCAAGTGGCCAGCACTTCAACGGCAACAACAATTGCGACGCGAACACTAAAATATGCGTGAGACCGTGTGTTGGCAAATAATAATAATAATACGCTAAGCGAGCTGAATCATTACTGATGCACAATATTTAGCACTAGCATATTATCCTACTTATTTGTTTGTGCAACAATTACCAGCGGCCCTTAAGTTATAATGTACATTTTAGTACTTGTTAGCTCAGAGAGAAAAAAATCGTTTATAGTCGTACTAACATGCTACAAGTCTGATGAATAAGTCAATTATAGTACATGAAAGGGCCGAGATCCGATGTCTGAGAGTGTCTTATGTGCTTTTAAGGCTGGCCTGGCAAGTTGCCACGAATACAAAGACAACAATATTGGGCAGCAAAATTAAATCAAAATGCGAAATGTTCTTTTACCGCCGCACTCGCCAGAAATCTCAACTATTTTCGCAAACATGTGTAGCTGTAGCATAGTTGCATGTTTTCCTATCCGTCAGATACGCGTGCCATCCCCCCTTTGCACATCAGTACAACCAATGCTGCGAAAGTAGTGTGTGTGAGTGTCGGCGTGAGTGAGTGGTATTTATGTTGAAGCGACAAGCGGCCATAAGTCAAACAAGACTGCTCTCTGCCAACCACCAATGCAGAACTCAATTTGAGATCTTGTCAACGGACCAAGAAATAAATGATATGCCTTCTAAAATTTGTCAAAACACAATAGTTGGTGGTGCTGTTGTTTGGGCATCTTTGTTTGTCCCCTCCCATTACTTGTTGGCTGGGCTGTGTTGTCTACGTGGTTTTCAAGCTGTACATATATTGCAAATCTTTAAAAATACTCAGATATAAACAGCTAATCGAAAAATTATTTGGCTAAGCTAACTAGGTTTGCGAGTGGAAGCACAATTTTTTAACCTGTACCCGTAGGGTAAAAAGTGTATATTAGGTTTGTGCAAAGTATGTAACATGCAGAAGGAAGCATCTCCGACCCCATAAAGTATATATATTCTGAATCAGAATGACAAGAAAAATCGATCTAGTCCGTCCGTCTACTGTTGTTGTTTAAAATTTTATCCAATTCGGTCAATTCTAAGAAAAGTTATTAGCGAAACACATTCTCTACAGTACAACCCCCCCAAACTGCAGCAACAAGTTCGCTCTTCTTCTTCTTTTTGCTTCTTCTAGAAGCGCATATAACTCAGTGTCGGAAGTTTACCTGGGTACAGGGTATTTCACTGTCGGGCTTCCTCGACTGTAGCGTTCTCTCTTGTTTTGTGTAAAGTTAACAAAAAGAATGTTTAGGTCGTTGGTACCCTACTCTTGAATACCCTGTACCAGCTTTTCTCTTCCAATCATTCCTAGATAGTGCTGCATCTATTTCGATCAAATTCGGGTCACAAATACCAAAAATTGTTGACGAAATCTTTTACGAAAGTTTCGATTTTGTCAATATATCTTTAGATTATCTTTAAAAGTCCGCATAAAAAAGGTGTCGTTTAGTCCGAGTTATCACTGTATGTATATGGTTTCCCCTACTTACAAAGTTTGTTATCGCTATGCAGATATACTGATAACATGGCATCAAGAACGTCTCCTTTGATTTAGACTTGCTCGTATATACGTGCATTTTAAGTAATGTACTTGAAGGCAGAATTTCCACTCCTTGACCAAAAAACACACTGCATTATGTAAAAGCTTTAACTTCATTTAAAAGTGGCACCCAGTTGATGCCCAGAAAAATCTTAGACAGCACCAAAGCTACTATGTTGTATAATGAAACATGAAGCTCCTTGCAGTATCAGAAGCAGTGGCAGTTGCAGCAGCAGTGGAAACAAATGCGAAGGAGAGGAGCCTGCATAAGCATGAATGCAATGCATAAAGGAGCCAAATTCCACAGCAACAACAAAAATGTTGGACCCCTTGAAAAATGCACAAGGAATGCTTAAAATACTACAGGGAAAAAAAGAAGAAAACTATTTTTTTTTTAATCTTCTCAGCGACAGACACAGCGCAACGACAACGACAACGAAAACTGCGACGAGGGCGAGGGCGAGTTGCCAAAGACAAATGTGGGTCGAAAGCGCAAAGTGCAACAACTGGCACGCACGCACGCCACAGAGTATGCAATGCGCAGCACGCGGCCGGAAAATGGGAAAACCACCAACAACAACGAACCAAACCATTTTTTGGCACTTGCTGCCCAAGGCGTCAGACAAGACAGCCCGCCAAGCCGTTGGCTCCACTTTTCGAGCAGAATTCCAACAGGCAGGGGGCAGAGTGTCGTCTTGTCTGCAACACTATGTTTGTTTTGTCGCTGTTGTTATACCCCTGGCTGTCTGTTGCAACTAATAGGTTAAGTAAAATTTAATATTTTTGCAAACAAGTTTCAGTTGAAACTGCTGCCATCAACAGGTCGCGCGTACGGCACACGCCGTATCTTAAAACCAATAGTTCTCTTAGGCGCCCTTTTCTCCAAACAGCTGATTTCGAATATTTACGTATCGTCACATCATTATAAGTATAAATATAATACATATATAGAAATTAAATCCCATCACACTATCTATTCCACACAGAAT